TCCAACTCCAGGACTGAGCCCTGATTGGCCTAAGCCAGTCACCCTTATTCCTCACATCGAAATCCCCACAGCTGGCTCAGGGATGAGCAGGAGATCTGCGTTCTTCCAATCGGGGCAAACCTCAGGTATCAGTTTGCTGGTTGAGAGAAAGACACTGTCTGATCCTGGGAGGTGTGGCTACAGATGTGAAGCCTGGGTTGGCTGCAGCCAATTACAGCCGGTCAAGACACCAGCCAAGGACAATGATGGCATGCCTAGGAAGCATATATCAAAAACATGGAGCCAGGACCTTGATCACACTGCAACTGAAGTTCCAGATCTGGAGATTTTAGGTAACAGAGCCAATCGATTCCAGTGATCATTTAAGCCAATTTAAGTTGGGTTTTTCTATCAAAATAGTTCCAACTGATGTTCTGGCTTGTGTGCTAAAGAGTCCCGGGGTGAAGGCGTCGGGCACGGCTGGTTCAGAGTGCTCAGGGCAGCAGAGCTGTCGTCCTCTCATCTCTGGCCCTCTTTGTCTCGGCTCCACTCTCAGCCTGGCTTTTCCACTGCGGAGTTGCTCCAGGCTTAAATCACACCAGCTCAGCAACCTGATGGAAAGAGAAGTGTCATGTTTTCAATGGTTTCTACAGAAGTCCTTGTTTGGGGTTCACTGGCCTATCTAGAACCATGTGCCCATTCCCCAGCCAATCATTATGACCGGGGAGAGATGCTCTGATGAGCTCAGCCTTGATTATACACCAACCCTTGGGGTTGGAGGCAGGGGGAGGGTAGAGGGTGGGGAACTCTCTCCCCTCAGCCTATCCGAATTCTTCTCAAGAGTTTGGCTTTGCACCCTGGCTGGTTTTGCTCAGTGGTTAGAGCGTCAGCCGGCAAACTGGAGAGTCCCAGGTTTGATTGCCACTAAGGGCACGTACGTCGGTTGTGGTTTGTCCCTGGCCTCGGTTGGGGTCACGCGGTTGGCAACCACTTGATGTGTCTCTCTCACATCGATGTTTCTCTCTTTCTCTTGCCCTCTCTCCCTTCCGCTCTATCTGAAGATAAATGCAAAGGGGGAAAAAAAAGTTTGGCTTTGTGATCATGGATAAATAAATGAATCTCTCTGAACCTCATCTGTAAATTAGACAATGATGGTCTCAGACTCAGGGTTGTGATGAAGAGAAAATGAGATAACCTATGCAAAGCATTTACACAATGCTCACTACTTTGTTATTAGTGTTCGTATTACTACCATTTCCTATCTCTAGTGCCTCCACTTCCAGAAAGTCTGCCCCGATCACTCTCTTCCCACAGACTAGAAGGAAACTTCCTTCTTGAGTTCTCCTAACCCTTTCTCTTACACTTTTCTATGTAATTTCAGAGTTCGTTTCTGCTTGTGTTCATGACTCCTCTGCCCTTTTAGACTCCCGGCACCTACAGGGGCCAGAACAGCTTCATCTCTGTATCTTAATAAGAATCACTGCTAGCACCCATCTAGGGCTTTACAGTTTCCAAAGCATTTCGTCCTCTGCTTTTCCATTCTGAACTGAAGTGCCATCCTACAAGGTGGGAGGGATTGTTATCCCCACTTCCAAGGTGGAGAAACTGAGGCTGAAAGGAACAGAGGTCCTTTCAAGGTCAAGCAACAAATCAGGCATTAGGCATTTTGGATTTCCAGCACAGGTCTCTTTCTGCTGGATATGGTTTGACTCTGGGGTTCACCCCTTTGGATCTCCTTCTGCACATTTGTTCAGTGATTCTTTTCACTCAGCATTCTTCTCTCCCTGCCAGCAATTCTTTCCCCTTGAAGTTCTCTTTCCTTAACTCCAGAGATATCCCTGGCCTACACAGCCATCTCCTTCTGCTTTTGAAACACAGCCCCCAAGCCAGCCCCAGTCGCTCTGCCTCATTATGCTTCTGGAACCAACTTCCAGATCCTAGGAAGGGCAGATGAGTGTCTCTAGCTCTGTGCCCTGGGACTGAGTTGGGCTTGGACAGTCTGGCTTATCCTGTACTCTCCTCTGCAAGACTGCTTACATGCTGTGGACTGAGCAGAACCTGCGTTTGAATTTCAGCACAGCAGTGAGCTGCCTCGATTTTTCATCAGTAAAATGAGAATAGAGCTGCTGACCTCAAGGGTTCGTCATGAGGGTGCACTGAGAGAGGGACGTGAAAGAGGGCAATATGCTTCAAAGCCAAAGTGGGTGCAGGAAGGAGAAATGATTTCAAGGAATGAAGAAATGTTCTCTCTGATCTTACACAGGGGTGGTGGTCTTCCCGATTCTGGAGACCCTCCCCCACTCCCCAGCCTGGCTCAGTCTCTCACACTCCAATTCACTTCCAGGGCTGCAGTTAGCTCATCATCTCTTTATCTGCATGAACTTCTCTTCCCAAATCTTGCATCTTATCTCTGACTACACAGACTTGCTAGCTGGGCGGGGAAATGAATGGGCTCTGCATGCAGCAAGACCAGCCAGGGTGGCCAAGACCTGGCATCTATCTCCCCAAGCCTCAATTTCTTCGTCAATAAAATGTGGGCAATAAGAATGCTCACCTTGCCCTGGCCAGTTTGGCTCAGCGGTTAGAGCGTCGGCCTGCGGTCCGGAGAGACCCGGGTTCGGTTCCGCTAAGGGCACGTACTTCGGTTGCAGTTTGTCCCCGGCCCTGGTTGGTCGTGCGGGTGGCAGCCACTCGATGTGTCCCTTCACGTCGATGTTTCTCTCTCTCTCTCACTTCCTCTCTCTCCCTCCCACTCTATCTGTACAAAAAATGGAAAAATATCCTCGGGTGAGGATTAAAAACAAAACAAAACAAACAAACAAACAAAAGAATGCTCACCTTGTGGGGATGTGTGAGGTTCTAGGCCAGCATCGTTCAGTGTGGCAGCATCTAGTTACAAGTGGCTATTTAAATGTATTAATTAAAGTTAAATAAGGTCTTAAAAATTCATATCCTTGGTCACACTAGCCACATTTCTGTGCTTATATGTGGACAGCATCGCTAGAGAACATTTCCATCATTGCAGGAAGTTTGATCGTGCAGCACTGGTTTAAACAATCTTTGTAAAGAACTCAGGCTCACACCGGGTACCCACTATGTGTTAGCTTAATTCACTTGAAATTGCAAAATTTTGAGGCTAGGGGCCACGATTTCATGTACAGTTCTGCTCTCCTGGAAGGCCCAGGAAAGCCCAGCAAAGAGCTGCGGTCTACAAGGAGTATTGGACTGGTTGAGGGCCGTCTCTGGGACAGGGAGCTTGGGTTCCTGCCGTAGGGCAGGCAACAGAAGGCTTAATTCACTCTCCTAGCGGAGAAGGGACACTGAGCAGTGGGAGGGGCATGGAGTACCCGAGGGCAGCAAACTGTTAGCAAACTGTCGGGTCGAGTTTCTAGTATCTAGAACCAGTGTGGAACTTTTCAAAGGAAAAATGCCCATGTGGGTTTGCAAATGTGTTCATTTCTCTCTTGCTCTCTTCCCTCTCCTTCCCTCCCCTCTCTCCTCCCTCCTGTATTTTTTGCTGGAGAGGGGAAGCCCAGTCTAGATCCCAGCCTGTGAGAACAGAAGGAATGCCTTGGTCCACCTGGCTCCTTCATAGAGAGGAGGAATATGAAGCTCAGAGAAGTGCAGCGACTTGCCTAAGTTCCCTTAGTGAATGAGGACAGAGTGAAAAGGTCTGGACACAGCTTCCCTGAAACCAAAGTTTGGTATAGTGTTGATGGGCAACAGGGATGGTACTGTCTGCCGATCAAGCAAGCCCTGATCCATCCCCCAGGCCCTGCTGTGAGGGGTCTCTGCAGTGCCCACCTTGACTGGTGCAGGTTAGTCAGCTGTGAGGTCCTGAGAACCTCTCCAGGGTCTGCCCCTTCTCTGGCTTTGTCTTTGCCTCCTTCTGGACCAAGTACCATGCTGGGAATACAGCTGGTGGCTCATAGGTGCTGTGAACCAAAGGGAAGAGGCAGTTCTTGTCACTCCTTTGAGAGTGTGAGGCGTGTGGAGTGTCAAGGCTGCACCAAGAGTGTCTAATAACTCCTCAATCAGGGCTCCGGTGAGCCAAGAGGTCCCACCATTTTAGTGCCACCACCCCTTTAGCAGCCTAACAGCCTATGCATCCCCTCTCAGAATAATTTTTGAACCCTGGCTGGTTTGGCTCCGTGGTTAGAATGTCAGCCTGCGGTCCAGAGAGACCGAGGTTCAGTTCCTGCTAAGGGCATGTGCTTCGGTTGCAGTTTGTCCCCGGCCCTGGTTGGGTCGTGCGGGTGGCAACTACTCCATGTGTCCCTTTCACGTTGATGTTTCTCTCTTCCTCTCCCTCCTGCTCTGTCTGAATAAAAATATGGAAAAATGTCCTCAGGTGAGGATAAAAAAAATAGTAATTTTCGAGTGCGTTTTATTGAAGTAAAATGCACATACATTAAAGTGCACACATCTAAACTGTACATCAGTGAATTTTCACAAAGTGAACACTTTGACCCCAGCACCTGGCTTAAGAAACCAAGCTGACTAGCGCCCCAAGCAGCCACCTCGCCCCTTCCAGGCGCCATCTCCCAAGAAGCCTCTATCCCAATCATGTTGATTCCAAGGGTAAGAAGCAAGTTGTAGCTTAGGGTGCAGCGGTGTGTGTGTGAGGGAGGGTGGTCAGCTGTGTGGGGAGTTGCGGATGTACATGACGTGAAGGGAATTTCTAGATCTGAATGAAGGCTACTAAGAGCACGGATTGGGGTACGAATTTGCCAGGGGATGTGTGGCGATTGGGATCATCGGGGTGCGTGAGAAGGGGTTGGGGCGTTGTTTAGGGAATTCCCGCGTGGGTTCTGGGGAGCTGTGGGACTGCTGGGCTGTCTGCGTGGGGTCGTGGGAAGGTGGGGTGGAGGCTGCAGGGGGCGGGGCCGGTAGGCGCGGGCGGGGCCTGGGCGATGGGGCGGGGCCGGCGCGCGCGCGCGCGCACGCAGCCGGCGCGCCCCCTCCCGGCCGCCATGTTGGCTGGTGTGTGGGTGTCAAACAGAGCTGGACGGGGTTGTGGCGCCGGCGGCGGCTCCGCGGGCTCCGGTTGCTCCCGCCTTCCCAGCGCTATTAGCGGCCGTAGCCGCGCACCCTGGCCGGCCCGAAGGAGCGGAGGTGAGCCGGGGTCGGGGACCGGAGCGGGGCCCCAGAGCGCGGACCGTCCCCATCCCCCAGGGGGCGGACGCCCCCAGAACACAGGCTCCCCCAGAGTCGGCTCCCCGGGAGTCAGCCCCCCAAGCATGCACCCCCGCTGCCCCAGCTGGGTCTACCCCTCTGGCGGGACCTCCTTTTTTCCAACCAGACCCCGCCCCACAGGCTCGAGCATGGCCCCCTCCCAATCTGGATCCCTCTTTCCGCTGCAAGGACCCCCCCTTCTCCCCGACACGAGCGCACACTCTCAACATTTCCTATCTGGGAGCTCTTCATTTTATATCCCGGAGTCTGGAGCGCCCCTTTATCCTACTAGATCCGGGAGCCCCTCTTGGTCCTCACCCGCTACCTCTCAGCTTGTAAGAGCCCGGCCCGTTCTCCCCAGAGCACTTTCCGCCCCTCGGGGCCAGGCGCCCCCTTTCTCCCGAGCCGAGCCTGATCTCCCTCCCGCCCGGGTGCAGAGTCCAGACCCCATCCCTCCAGGAATCGGGGGAGGGGTTCTCTGTGTCCAGGATCCCGGCCCGACCCCACTCTCCTTCGGGCAGGAACGGGCCCCCCCTTCCCGTCCTGAGGGACCAGGTTCTCCCTCCCCACCCCACCCCCACAGCACAGCGGGGACGGGGGCGGCAGAGCCAGGCTCCAGCTGCCTTTTGTTCCGCGTGGGATGGCAGAGACCCTTCCCCGCAGTCCTGCTCGGCTGATCCGGGTGGGTGAATGAGTGCATGGGGGCCCGACTCTTCCCGTCAGTCTTCGGGGGAAGAGACCCTTTCTTTCTTTCCCAGTGGGGCAGCTCCCTAGAAGCCAACAGTGTTGGGAGAAGCTGGTCCCTCCTAGAAGAGTCCTTGCCTGCAGGGTTTTGTTGGTTTTTTTTTGCATCCCAGGAGTTGGCCAAGTGGTTTTGCGGAAGGGGCAATTTGCTGTCCCCAGAAACCCCAGCAGGGTCCTGTGAAAGGCCATTCCTCCGCTCAGGGTTTGATGCACTGGGGATGCATCTGAAGTCTGTGCTTGAAGAGAGGATGGGGCTTAACCATCTTTGGGGTTCAGATGGGGAAAACTGAGGCCCAGAGATGCTGTGATTTGCTCAAGGTCACACAGCGATTCTATGTCAGTGCTGGAACTAGAAGCTACTTCTCCAGAGCTCTCTCCATGACATTTTAGATTTTTTTCAAAGATTTTTTTTATTGATTTTTAGAGGGAGAGGAAGGGAGAGGGGGAGAGAGAGAGAAACAATGTGAGGGAGAGAGATCCATGGCTGCCTCCTGCATGCTTCCTACTGGGGATGGAGCCTGAAATCTGGCCATGCATCCTTTTGATTTACAGGAGGATGCCCAACCTACTGAGCCAAACCTGCCAGAAGTATCTCCCTCCTCTTTTATTTTTAACATTCACACAAGAAAATGGTCAGGAAGAGATGAGAAGTATGGTTTCTTTATTTCCACCTCCAGAATATACCTTGTAAAGAAGGGATTGGAATAGGGGGTTAAAATGATTTTAAAAGGTGAATTTTAATATCCGTGTCCTCCTCTCGCTCTACTACCCCTTCACCCCCAATTACATGTGCATCTTGTAGCTCTAGATACCAGATGATAGGTGCTGACAAAAACATACACTGAATCCTGCACAGCACTGATTGAGTTGCACTGATAATTATGTTTTCATTTGTATTTAAACATCAAAAGAGACTACAGTTTATTTCTGAGTAGTACTTGTTCCTTTGTGTTTGAAACAAGTGATTGTGTTGGAGAAACCAAAATTTTCTCATCTTTTATTTATCTGTATTTTTATTTTTACATTTTAGAAGCTTATTTGTTTCTTTAGTTTTAATATTAGGCTAGTCATCCTTATCAGTCTCACTGGGCTATTCTTTTGTAAGCATTGAACGAGATACTGGCTATTAAAGCATTTGGTAAAGTGCAAATGACTGTAGGGCATGATTCAGGACTGCATCCCTCAAGCCCCTGGACCAGGAGCAAGTTTGGGCTGTCCTGTGGGATGTACTGATCTCATCTGGTTTACACAAGCTTCTTGCCTTTCTGAACCTTGAGCTTGGCAGATAGGGTGTTCTGTGGAGAACTCTCACCCAGCAAGGTGTGTTGTGCCAAGTACCTTTGTGAGGTGTGAAGAAATATAAAACTTTCAAGTAGTGATACCTACGTAGCACAGTGTATGCAGTCTTGAAAAATGACCCATCCTTTGTAGACATTCTCTGTAGAAACAGTTGCCTCTTTATGTCTTCCATAATAAGGTATGGATTGAGAGAATCCTGAGAGTTAGGATTCTGATTAGTCCTGCAAAAGCATTTGAGAAGTTTTTGGGACTCTGATTTGTTTTAATGGCTTACCTTTTCCTGAACGTAAAGGGTAGATGGTGGCAGCTTCCTCTTCCTCCTCTTTTTTTTCTTCTCCTCCTCCCTTCGTTCCCCTTTCCTCCCTCCTTCTTCTTAGGAGGAGTGACAACTTTCAATTCGTTGTGGACTAACATGCTAAGAGATTTTTATGTGTGGGATTGTCACTGTTATACTCTTGGGAAACACATTAAAGTATTCTAAGGCTATTGGCAACTGTTATTGTTCCCCATAGGATTGGTGGGGTGTGGATGACCATGGCAGTTGTCATTTTATGATATGAGTACTGATGACTCTGAGCCTTGGAGAAATCAAAGGGCTTGGATTTGGGAATTTGAAAGTAGGGAGGATATAAGAAATCATTCAGTCCTACTTTCTGTATTCTGCTGAACTTTCAACTCATGTCTTCGGTTTAAACAAACTTCTGTCGAGCCTTTGCCAGCCAACTCCATCAGTGTTTGGGCCCCTCTAACTCTATTCTCTAAGTCTCACCCCCCAAATAATCTGTTGGAGCACTTACCACATTGTTTGTATATCTGGGGCTCTTGTGACACTGTGACATCTTCGATACCACTGGTTGTCCTTTCTTTACTTCTCCAGCACACATCTCAGTCTGAGACATGCATGCGCAGCAGGTGCTCATAAAGGTCTGGGGTGTGAATCAATGGTCCTGGAGGCAGGGGGACAACCTTTGTTGCTTTTACGATAAGTTCCACTGTTCTGTCTTGTTCTTGCAAAAACCACTGCTGTTTGTCCAGCAGTCATATGTTAGCCATGTGGGTATACCCCCACCCCTTTTGCAAATAAGGAAACTGAGACCCAGGGGCTTGAGTCATGTGCTCAAGGTCACACACCCAGAAAGAGATGGTGCTGGAATTTGAACAGGTCTGCTGAATTTAAAAATATTCTTATACCTGTTACCTCATTTGAAAAACTCATTCTCATGGGAATGAAGAGACTTGCTTAAAGCCCTACTGCAAATTGACAATGGACTGAGTACTGTAGAATGATGTAATGAAGATTGGTAAGGGTGGGAGAAAGCACATTTTACTTTTGCACAATGCATTGTTGAAATGACTGTTTATGTCCATGTGATGAGTTTTTGAAAATTGATAAGCTTTCTGGTAAGTTTATCTGTAGAATTTTCTTTGGTCTTAAGTAGCTTGTTCTAGGTGTCTAAATATAGAAACGTAGAAAATAAAAGCAGTGAAATAAGTGCATATAGTTAAGTGAGTGTATTCAGTGGCATCCATCCATGGGCTTGTTTGACCATACCTATTTTTCAGTCAGGCAGTTAAAATTTTTGATGTCTTAAAATGCAAAGCTGTTATAACAGCCTTTGTTTTTTTCCTCTCACATAAAATTTTATTTTGTCTTCACATCGATGTGTAACAGGGTTACCACCGGTTCATGAATGGAAAACTGAGGTTCAGAGGAGAGGTTAGGTACTCCCCCCTTCCCCCCTTGCATTGTCGATATTTATTGAGCATGTACAGTATACTGGGTACAACAGAACATACAAGAAAACATTGTCCCTGCTCTGGAGGAGCTGATATTCTAAAATAAAAAAAATACACCTCTTTTAAAATGGTATTTTTGTTTGGTGTTTTTCAAGGTACTTGAGAGAGTCTGTAGGATGAGCTTTGGGTATAACTTAGCCTCATTATTTAAAGAAGAGATTAAGCCCTGGCCAGTGTGGCTGGGTTGGTTGAGCATTGTTCCACGAGCCAAAAGGTGGCTGGTTTGATTTCAGCTTGATCCTCAGTGGAGGGCATGTGTGGGAGGCAGCCTACTGATTTTTCTCTCTGACATCAATCTCTCCCTCTCCCTTCCTTTCTCTAAAATCAACAAAAACATATTTAAACCTTTTAAGAAATAAAGAAAAGAGAAAGAGGAAGGATTTTAAAGGCAAATGATGACAGACATTCAGGATAGGTAGAATTCACAGGGAGAGGTAACACAAGCTCATCAACTAAGGAGAGATTTGCTGCAGTAAATAGTATGAAGGAGATAGTTTGTGGGATACAAGCAAAGGAAGCAGGATATCCTTAGACACTGAGTAGAAACAGAAAGGTCATGTGGCCTTTTTCCCAAGTACATAGTCACCAAGTAGGAATGGTTGGTGACAAGACAGAAGGCTAAAAAAGGTAATCCTGTGTATCTGACAGATAGAATAAAGGATCAAAGTTTAAAGCAGGTTATAGGACTATCAATAAATTTTTAAAAACAAAAATGATTTGGAAGCACAACACTTGGCAATTAATACTACCCAATGTCATGATGGGCCAAGAACATTGTGGCTTCTGAAATTAGAAAATGTCATATACTAAAATTTTAAATGGAATGGAACACATTACTTTTTTCTAGTCGATCTCCCCATCTCTGGAAAGAAAAACCAATACCTTTTTTTTCCCCCAGGAGGGTGGGGGGAGAGTATGGGATATAGTTGGAAACAGTAGTAGTTATATTAGTACTATTGTGTTGTTATGATAAACTTTGTATTTATTTATTTACGTATTTAACTTATTGGGGTGACAGTGGTTCATAGGATCATATAGGTTTCAAGTGGATAAACTTTGTATTTAGACTTGGTAAAGCCCATTAGCTGCTAAAGGGGAAT